TCTCTCTCTCTCTCTCTCTCTCTCTCGTGCTAGCTAGGTCGCAGAGGTGCTGTTGACTGTCCTACTTCGCTCCCTCTCAGCCTCACTTGACGCTTGTCCGCCAAGACCGCAGCAGCACTTTCGCGAGGTGTTTAAATGGAAATTGTGTTGGTGTCTGGCAGCTGTTGGACTTTTATGTCTTGCTGGAGTTGACCTTGGACATTGGACCGGTACCGGCCGTGGTTCTGTCTTGAATTTTTCGGCGGGTACCAAACTTTCCCAGGAGCGGCTACTTTTAGACTGGACCGTCCTTCGGATGCCCTAGGTCTAACGACCTACTGGACTGACTGCAAGGATGGGCTTATGGTACTCTATAGTTCCTACTGTACTCCTGCGCCTACTGGTTTGGGCCGCATTTGGGACTTGGGAATTCTGGGCATCGGACTTGGGAATTCTGGGACCGTGTTTGGGACTTAGGCACAAAAATGTGCGAAATAGTAAATACATTCAGATATTCACCTTTCTAAGTTCGCCTAAACAGCAGCTAAAGACGAAACAAAGCAAGCATATCACCCAACTTCGATTCTATATCATTATGCCTAGGCACTGTAACATGCAGTGACACAGACATGATAACCTTGCAAAATACGAAGTGCAGCAACTCAGGCATCTTTCTGAAAAATGCCTTGCTTGTGTAGTGTGTGTGTGTGTGTGTGTGTGTGTGTGTGTGCTATCATTTTGTAAATTCTAGCACCCAGGTTGTGAACATTAGGGGCCATATCCTAGAGTGAAGTTACAGCCTGTGAACATTTTGAGGCTAAATCGGAAAGTTAAGTCATTAACTGTGAACATTAGAGGCTATAGGGGAAAGTGAAGTCACAAACTGCGATATGTATGGAAATTGATGTAACAGATTGATCAGCTTTTTGAGACAGCTTTCACTTGGAAAGGCAGAATCGATGTTAAAGCATCTCTGTCATAGTATCCCATAGCACTGATCAAGTTTGGCAGCTAGTCAACTATGAGTTCGAGTCCCAGCGGGAATCTACCTAACCGAGGAGGTTGGTTTAGGTTGCTGTTATTTTTAAGGACACGGGTTCCAGCCTCAGCAGGTGGAAGATAGCCATGTGAAAGAATGTCGGCAAAGTGGAAGATAGCCATGTGAAAAAAAAAGAATGTCTGGATTTTCTTTTTTGTTTTGTTTTTGAAGAACATATCTCCGTTCTATAGGTGGGGAGTGTCACCTGCTGGGAATTGCGCCCAGCGTCCCTTTTCAGCACAAACAACTCTCGATGCTTCACCGCGTTACCGCGCTGACATCATTGATTGCTTCCGTCGGAAGGATTGACTGCCAGGTAAGCCCTCTCAAGACTTCGGCTCAGGTCCCGTGTCCCAAGACCTCTCGAACTGCTCTACGCATACCAAGCACTCTGAAAAACCAGACCTTGTACATTCCACGCCATGTTCCACTGTTGCCGTGGCTTTCTTCTTTCTTTTCTTCTTTTTTTTTCCTTCTTTTTTTTCCTTCTTTTTTTCCCTTCTTTTCTTTTCTTTTATGGAAACATCATAAGGGCCCCATCCCGAGGAGGTGATACAGCAGCCTCCGGGGGGGTGGTGTCCCCACTGTTTGATGGCTCCAGTCAATGGTGGGGAGCGTCGCTTGCTGGAAATGGGTCCAGTGTCCCCATTGATGGC